CTTTCTCAGGGTCTGCGCTCAAAGTGCATCATTTACAACCAATACACGTGTGTGTCCACTGGCAGGAGTTCATCAAGTCCACGAGCTTCAAGTTTGTGGACTCCAGCGGCGCCTTCATCACCCTTGACAACGGGGAGTGGACGCGATGTGAGTTGACTTCAACTTCCTTTCTCAAGGCACTGCTCGCTGGCTAGCGATAGGTCGTGTTTGTGATTTGTCAGGTATCCGCCTTGCTTGTCGGTGAGCGCAGGGACACAAGTCGTAGACACAAGGCTAGAATGAATGGTCATGTGTGCTGCTCACAAGGTCCAACAATACTACTACTGTAGTATGTGCACGGAACACGTTGATCATTGAACAGGGATACCATATGAGACGTGTGAGCACTGAGCACTGACACCACATGCAATTTTTGCTATGCGCACTTTGCACTGCACACTGCGCTGTGCTGTGCAGACTCCATCAATGTGCCCGTGGTGTACGGTGAGATGTGGTGGGAGATGAGGCACTCCGTGCTGGGCGGCGGCGGCTTTAAGTGAGTCATGAATTGATGCGACATCATTACTTAAGTGAAGGTATTCAGAAGTTTACAATCACACCTGTCATGACATGGCCTATTGAACGGCTACAAGAAGGGGAGCTCACACCTTGAGTGTTTTGCTACGCCTTGTGTGCAGCATTGAGAAAGCGACCCGGAGCTCACATTTTGTGTGTTTCTCCTGTTCCTTCATATATACCTACTGCGAAGTAGTGTTTGTCCTGCACACAAATATATTGCCACAAAGGTTTCCACTCACTTGTAGTATCGCTTTAACTGCAGACGTCTAGTACTTTTGAAGCAGTGTATACCCAACACGCTTTAGGTGCATGAAGCAAAATCACTTCAGGTCACTGAACATGGGCGATCCCCAGAATGCACATTCCCTGTTGACACAAGTCCGCCTCGAACTACCGCGGCGCAGTGCAAATTGTAGAGGCAGGTCAACTCGCCGATGCGTCATGCCCAGGAGCGCGCCACGACAGGTCTGCACCTTGCATCTCCATCGCAGTCCGCCGCTGACACACACCGCGCCAACGCCAAACTCCACCTCCTGCATTGCCTTTCTGTTCATACCTCATTGTATACCAGGCTGATTGCCGACAGCACCAACTGCGCCGACCCGGCGGCGGACGGCGGCCTGGTGCTGCTGGACGTAGCAGGCGTCACGGCGGCCTGGGAGGCCAAAACGGAGCCGCCCTACTTGCCGTTCACCTCGCGCTGCTGGCAGACGCAGCGGTGGGCCTCCCAGAACGCTTTCGCCACCCCCGGCGAGCACTTCCTGACACTGTGCTCGAAAACGAATGGCTTCAACGTCTCCTACCTGGACTTCACGCCCTACCAGCCCGGGCACAAGCTCAAGGTCGGCCCGGCTGTGGGTGGTAAGGCGGCGGCGGAGGCGATGGCACAGGCGGTGATGGCTGTGGCAACGGCAGCGACGGCGGCGTCGACGGCGGCGGCGGCGGCGGCGCGGCAGCAGCGGCTGCGGCAGGGGCAACTGCATTGCCCTGGGCGCGATGACGTTGTCAGCATGCAATCTGAAACGGTCGCTGCACGCGCCTGTCAGCGGGCTGGCGATACACGCGTGCCGGTTGATCGCCTGTTGCCCCGTGCATTCTCCTCGTAAATCAGTAGTCATGGGCTGAGCGCCTCAACATCCAATCATTGTTGTTTCATGTTGATCAGTAGTGTGGGAATCTGCCCCTTTATCCGCCCTATTAAGGACCACTTCTGGTCCCACGTTACTTTGCAACTTCGCAACTTCCGTATTGCTGGTGACCTACCATTGGTCAGTTGCCCACCAATGACCCCCATTACTTTGGCCTTAGGTGCGCATGTGGTGTTGCCGACTGCCCGCCAATGTTGCCACCTGCTGGCAGCAGCTCCTCTCTTGCTCCCTTCAAGTTGCAGTACTATTCACTCTTCATCTGCAACCCAGTGTCAGCCTTCTGCCTGCCGCTGCCTTGCCTGGAGTCAACAAATGGCCTGCTGTTCTAGTCTACAGCTGAGTGTGGGCTGACCTTCTACTGGTTCGGCCACACCACACTCAGTGTTTTGGGGCTTGAAACAGCCTACCCCACATTTTGGAGGAGTCTGAGGCGCCCGCCCCTGCCTCATCCCCGAAGGTCCGATGCTGCCCACCACTTTCTGGACAAGCCCAATCGGGTTTCGAACTTCACGCGGTTCCTGGCGCAGCAGCAGCAGCAGCAGCGACTTTCCAGCGTCCCGCCTTCGTCAGCAAGCACCGTAACTGTGAACGCTGGCCAGCATCATCTCACAGCAGCAACGCTCCTGACAACTTCGTCCTACCCTGCCTTCAAACGAACAAGGCAAGATCGCGTTCGCCATCTACCGGGCCAAGAGCCTTCTGGACAGCATCAGCGTCAACCAGTTTCGGCCACCTCCAGTGGAAGCGACGGCCGTGCACCAGAGCTCCAGGAGTGCCTGTTCCTTACCATCCTCGAGGGGGGTCTACTTCCAGCTGGCTAGCCTGAGGGCTACGTCAACAAATGCGCCTGCAGCAGTGCAGACCCATTCCCGCTTCAACGAGGAGGAGATGGTGGCTTCGCTTCAGCGCATCGAGCGCACCATCGTGTTACCCAACAAGGAGAACTTCCTTCTGACGGCACACGGCGTCAACAGCGCCAATTTCATGCCGCCACAGCATGGCTCCGACAGTTCTCCCTCCGCCGACTAACTTAAAGTACATTGACGACGACCTGCCCTCAACAGCTACATCAACTTTGACGACAACCAGTTCTTTGAGAGCTGCAGCAACTTTGACGACGACGCGGCGTCCTTCAACAGCTACGGCAACCTCAACAACGGCAACCACAACGGCAGCGGACGCCGTACCTATCGCGACACTCGACAGAGTGACAACTCCCGTTCGCAGCATGCTCCCACCCGTCAAGGTGGCAACTCTGCGCAGCGTTTTGCTCCCTCTGCAGGTGCCGCCTCCGCACATGCGCCCTCTCATGATCACCGCCAGCAGCGCCAGCAGGCGCCGCCGCCGTCATCACCGCTCAACCCCAGCAGCGAACTTCAAGGCCGCAACCAAGACGCACACCGCCAGCCCAACGGCAGCGGTTCCAACAACGCTGGCACGCCTGGCGCCGCTCAGCAGCGCACGCGAACAGCGCATTATGGCTCTGCAGACATGTCAACCTTCAAGTTGGCGCCCCCTCATACCTACTTGCCACGGCTAGCGCAGACCCAAGCGTCATCCCCGTCAGCATGTCCCCTCGTTGGCGCACTGACGACTGGTACAAGATGTTCGGCAACAACGCCGCAACCACCTTGGCCACCGTTCCAGTTAAGATCGGCAGCGGAACCGATGAACTCGAACTTTCAGCTGCCTTCGTCACCACGGCTAATGGCAGCCCTCACCGCCGCAGCGCTCGCGAGCTCAGCCGCGCCTGTCAAGTTCATCCGCACAACTGCAACCGCAACTCGGCGCGCCGCTCCCCGCCGCACAACCTGCCGTCACGGTGCAGGCACCACACGCTGCCTCCACAGCCTGTCGCTCGGCACAACCGCCGAGCGCCGCTTGCGGGCGCAGCGCGCGCCAAAGTGGTGCGCATTGGAGTTCAGCGCACCTCCGCAGCTTTGGAGGCCGCACATCGTGCCGCACGCCCCATCTACCATGATACAGATGCTGCAGGAGGACCCCCTATTGCCGACCGGCGCGCAGAACTTGAAGTTGGCATATCCGATTCACTTGCCACTTTGGCAATTGGGTCATTCGGCAGCATCGGGGAGCAGGCCCTGGGGCGGAAGCTGCTGGAGGCTGTGGCGACGGAGTACGCCATGGCAGGATGTCAGTGCCCGGAGGAGCGCGCCGTAAAGCTTTTAAGGGCATCGCCCTGGCGCGCTTATGCTCTGTCGGCAGCGCTCCACATGGCGTGCTCTGGCCGCGTCATGACACACATGCATGGCCGAATCCAGGGGGGGGGAGGAGGACGTAGGGGAGGATCCCGAGATGCCATTTGGCGGCGGCGGCGTTTGAGTGGTTGTCGTTGACGCACTCTCAGACCGTTACACGACATGTAGATTCCGTACAGCAAGCTTCAAGGTAAATGCCATTCATCTGGGCTTTTTCGCGCCCTGAACGAGGAATTAATAAAAAAAATACATGAACAGTTGTTTGCGAGTGCAGGCTGGTGTGTAAGTGTGCGCCATGATATTTATGAATTCACTAAATTAAAAAAATTTATAGTTTTGCAGAATCTTGGCGACCACAGTTGTCAATCCGATTGAGTCACAGCATCGGGGAGCAACGGCAGCCGCTGCTGGATGCAGTGTCAGGTGACTATCAATAGTGCTTGGAAGTGAATATTCAGGTTGCTCATCCAGACCCTGACTCTCAAGGGCACAGCATTTGCTCACTCCGATCTGTCCGCAGCGCATCATGTTTGCAATTGCTGCTGGCAGCGGCCCACATGAATTGAGGGGGTGGAGGAGGGTAACAAGAGAAGGTGAGGTGCAGAAACATGACGACTTCTTGTGGTTGAGCACTATGAACGGCGGCATGAATAATACACAGCTTTCACATGGAGAACATACTTAGATGCCAAAGCTTTAGTCTAGTCTATTGGTGTGGTGCAATGAAAGACGAAGCAGATCTGCGAGAGTGAGGAAACGTCTAAAAGGAGCCCAGATAACACCTGGTACTTTCTCCATTGTCCTCAGAACCTAGCTGCACACGACAAGCTGAACGTGTGAGCTGAACGTGTGCTTGGGTCGAGGGCATCCCTGAGTCTTGCTCAGCTGGCAGTGCGCCGCCATGCCTTGAAGAATTTGCAAGGCTTCTTAAATCAACCTTCAAGACGAGGAAAGACAAAAAACTAGGATTCACATTGACGTCACAGCACAGCACATATGGCAAGTTCACAATTGGAGCTTTCAAAAACACACACACGCAAGTTGTTGGGGGATGAAAACACAACAAAAACCCTGCATTCAGTCACGACGGGGTTCGAACCCGCGACCCTTCGCTTAGAAGGCGAAAGCGCTTCCCACTGCGCCACGCGACCCATTTTTCATAGAGACACTGTGACAGAGTTTTACCGAGCTGGCAGTGTCGGTGCCGCCATGCTCCTGTTGTTTGGTATAGGCCACCTGTGGGCGGCAGCAGCGCTGTGTTCAGCTGATATGCACCTTGCCCCACAATGACAACTGGTCCAGACTCAAGGCCCAAAATGGGGTCGCACACCGCACGAAATGCCAAAATCGCATCACGCCTCAAGCACGCCCTCGAGCTAGCTCCCAACAAAGAAGGCCTCGAAAATTGCCTGCCGGAGATTGCTGATGGCGCCAGAAGCGAGCAGTGCAAAGCTGTACACAGCCCGCTCGAACTCAGCTGCTTGCTGAGTCGCGAGCCACAGCATGTTCACCAATAGTAGTCCAACTGTGACATCGAGCTCACATCTTCCAAATCATCATGTTTGGAATCAAAGTGCACCGCCATTGCTTGAAGCCTGCAATGGAAAAATTCACTCTACTCCACAGCATACAAATGCCGATAATAATGAAAGCAATAAAAACATAGGAATGTAGTGGCATGGCGGAGGAAAAGCTAACCACATCCATCACGGACTGTGTGCATTATTTACTCAGCCTGTCGGCGTTCATCATGTACAAAGGAGGGGGGATGTGATACTTGTCCATCAACTTCAACTTGTCTTTTTTGCGCCGAGCGACGCTGCGCCATTTTGTAACCCTCCGGCGGCAGCAGCGCTCTTGCGCTTGCGTAACCGCTCAACCAGGAGTGTCGCCAGCACCACCAGCACCGCCAGCGGCACGCCGCCATAGACCGCTGCCTTCGTGGCCACCTGCTGCACCTCTAGCCGCTTGAACTTGGGCACCGTGCCGACGCTTTTGGCCAGCTGCGCCGCCGTGTTGACGAGCGCAATGACTTCGTTGCGGCTCAGGTCCTGCACCTCCTCGCAGCTCTCGCTCGCCAGCAGGATCTTGATGGCCTGCATCATCAGACGTATGTCAAAGGGTAAACTACACTTCAAAAGTACAATGAATGATGCAGATTGCCCTCTCATACACAAGTATACTTTGATGGCCACTGCTGCTGGCGCCTGAAGCCAGACACCCAATCTTCAGCTATGCTTGACATAGTGCACAACACTGACCAGTGATCGACGTTGTGCTGATGTAAGCCGTGTTCAAAATCAGTGTTCGGCTTGCGCCTTCTGCTCTTCTGTTGCTTGACTAGTCTAGCGCCTGGCATGAACAACCAGAGACTGTGCAGAGACTATCAGGATCAAGGACAACCACAATCGCAAAGCAGCATCAGCGCAGCGCGCTCAAACCAGCCGACAAAGCAGTGCTCACCATGCCAACCGCAACATAGGCATGTGTGGCCTGCCTGCAGTGCCCACGTGCGATGCGAAGCACAGCAGCGCTCATTGGTTTAAAGAAACAGCAATTGATCATGAAGCTATGAAGGGGCGTGTTTGCGGCATGTGTTCACATGTACGCACACTGCACACCGCAAAGTGACTGCGTGCACTTGATACAAGACCACAAGTAGGGGTAGAATTAGGGTTAGGTAAAAGCAGTGCTCACCGTGCCGATGCCCAGCGTCTCGAGCTTGCCCCACATCTTGCACTTCTCGCACCCCACGCAGTCCATGATGCGCGATATGTTGTGGAACTTTGCCACAAACTGCTCGCGCAGCTCGCGCTTCTCCTCTAGCTCGCGCGCGTACACCGCGTCCAAAGGCGACCGCTGCGCTGCCTCAACCTGCGGCAAGCATGTCCAAGCATTTCAGTTGTGTAACAGTCAGTTGCGTAACTGTCAGTTGTGTGATGGAAGGCATGTGGTAAACATGACCAGTGGAATTGTGGTGCTTGGCAGCAGCGCTCAACAACACGCGCATGCACCGCATGTAGTCCAGCGGCGGCGACCGCAGCACAGCTTCAACCTGTGGCACGCGCTAGACGAAGCAGTCAGGTGCATGTCAAACACAGCCTTTCTGGCAACTGCAAACACCGCTACAACTACATTGTGCGACTGCCAGACAAAATGGGCTGAGGATACACAAGACTACCTCTCACCTCAAACATGCCCGTCTCGTTGAACCCCCCCATGCACAGTGTGTGCGGCGCAGCCCCTCCCCCATTGCCATTGCCGTTACCATTGCCATTGAACAGCGTCACCGCGCCATTCGCCAGCTGCGGCAGGCTGGGCTCGCTCTGGTGATCTACCAGCGCCTGCAGCAGCTGCATGGTGTGCGCATCCTCGCGCGCGTTGCCGGTGGCGTAGTCATAGTGCTTGAGCACTGGCGCGGCCTTGGCCAGCGCGCGCAGCAGGAACAGGTACGCAAAGTACATGTTGGTGAGGCGGTCCGGGTGCGCGCCGACGGCGCGTGTGAAGAACTCCACGTTGGGCCCGTACCTGCAGTTCAAGTTGAAGTTGAGGCGGCAGCATGATGTTGTTAGATCACATAAAGTCAGGCACATAGGCACAAGATGTGGCGGGGCAGCGTCCAGTTGCAGCGCTTTTGTTCGAGCTGTTCAAGCGGTTCAAGTGCGCACAGACGGCGCAGGAGGAAAGACAGCATCAACTGCAGTTGAAGTTGAACACCTACATGTGTGTGCCAGTGAGCCACGAAGTGATTGCGTGTCACTCAGGCTGCAATTGAATTGCAGGGCGCACCTGCACGGTGTCAATAGCACTCGAACACATGACCGACTCTATGTAGGAATGCTGCATTGAAGATCAAGTGTCCAGTCGCAGGCAAATTGCAATGCATTGGATGTGTCTTTGGTGTGACAAGCGGCACCAGGCAGATCGAGTCTGGCGACAAGTTCAGGCGCACTTAAATCCTATCCTAAAACTGTTCACAAGCAAAGACCAGATCATATAAGTGTGTGCCGCTAGCCTGGCTTGAGCTGGCAGCAGCCGAGCACCACAAGCTCTCCATCGCATCTGGCGTTTTGAGTGCCACACCCCATACCACTTACCACAACTACACATATCAAGCAGGCCAGGGGCTGAACACCGTGCAGAATCTGGTCACACATGATCATATACATCAAAATACTTTCAAATACACACAGAATGGCGCTATAAAACTCTACATACTTCAACTTGACATTCTGCAGTACTTCAATCTGCAAGCATACACTTTGAATTATCAGCAATGCTCGCTCACCGTCCATTGTCGAAGCGGTAGTCATTGGCGATCTGCGTGGTGATGGAGCTCTGCAGGCCGCTGATGAGCCTGAAGAAGACACGCTTCTCACGGCACACGCTCTTGCCCCCCTCAAACCCCTCAAAACAGTTCTCCAAGTAGATGGCCTTCCACACGCGCCATGCGCTGGCACCGCTGTATCCCGTGAACCGCTCGGGGTTCAGCTCTAAGTTGACGTATCTGTGAATGGCAATTAGAGCGGGGAGGGGAAAGAAAAGGGTGATGAGCTGGCAGTTGTGAATCCCTGTTCTTGCACCTGTCTGTGTACTTCTATTAAGAAGCATTTAGGGTTAGATGGCGCGCCACAATGTGGCTCATGCAACCGTCATGGTTGGACTTGAGGGTCACTGTGTTTTGACAACTGGTCAACACGAAGACATACACCAAGAAGTGCGCACAATGTCAGAGCATCATGTTGCCTCGTACATGCACCCACTGACTTGTTGCATTGATGTTGACTGCAATGCCTACAATGTCTTTCGTGCCCGCTTGTCAAGGTATGTTGGCAACTAGCACACTGCCTGAAGCGAGTTCGTGCTGCACGTGAGCGAAACTGTCATGATTTGCTCTCCCGAGAAGTCATGCAGATGCTCTTCAATTATAACATGACATGGTGCTTATGTGCCCTTGCCTTTACCTTGTGACACACAACCACCACTATCTCTACCATTTACCCTACCAAGTCTGTGCTGACAACATGGCATTCCCGTACTCCTCTTTACCACCAACGCTGAGCCCAACTCCATTGAAAGTACTGCCAAGTATATATTTCTCGTAAACCCCGCTAACAACAACATTGAGAGGTGAGCACTTACGCCATGGCGTCCTCACGCTCCTCCTGCTCCGTCCAAACATTGCTGGGGTGCGCCATCTCCTCCCATGGGTTGAAGTAGTCCGCCTTGGGGTCGCTGTGGCTGCGGTCTATGCGCCCCAGCTCCTTCTCTACGCTCGCGCTGTGCTCGCAGTTCTTCTCCTGCTGCCGACACTTGTCCTCGTGTGATTGGCCGATGAGCCCCGCCGCGCTGCAACAACGCTCAGCAGTTGCACCAACGTCACCAGGTGTGTACCAGGATTGTGATGTACTAGCCTTGACATATGGCGGTCCAAGTAGTGATAGCAGGCGTGATTATGGCGGCAGCGCATGCACTGTGCTCAACTAGCGAATGATGACATACATGTGGGTGCAAGTGATGAGCATGTGGCAGTGTAAGCTCAGCGCTGAGCGGTATGCTTAATGAATTCTGAATTGCACTTGTGCCAGCTCCAGCATGTATCACCCAGTTGGTGTGTGAATGGGATACAAGTGGATACCTCAACATAAGCCTGTAGCACCGGCATCCATCAGATGAAGTTGCTTGCTATTCAATATCCGGTGCAATTCAGAGTCCGCACTACTGCTGTTTGTCACAATAAAGTGATTTAGCATGGAAGCTGTACACGATGCGTGGCCACCACAAGCGTTGAGCACTGCTGCATACCTGTCCGCGAGCTTGCTGATGGGAGTCTGCTTCAACTTGTCATCCTCCTCCAGCCACTTCTTGGGTATCTCCTTGGGATCGCACTCACACACAGAGCAGTCCCTATACATGCACTGCCCGTCTTCTTGCCAGAATGGACAGGGCTTGTTGAGATCTACTTTGAAGTACTTGAAGAAAGTCGTGCGCTGGAGGCTGGTCAGCAGCGGCAGGAAAAAATCCCGTGTTGCATGGTCTACTGTGTCGAACTCGATGCAGCAGTCGCCGACCGTTCCCGTGAGCTGCGATGTCTGATGCGCGAAGTGCAGGTCAAGAGGAACACGAGGTGAGGGCAAACCTTTCTAACTCA